AAAAAAAAAAAAAAAAAAAAAAAAAAAAAAAAAAAAAAAAACCAGAAGGGGATCCTGTGAAAGTCCCAGACTGCCAGCATAGGTTAGAGGTCATACAACAGATGCAGAAAGTGAAAAACTTGGAAGAAGCTGAGGAATGTAAAGAAACACATTCACTACTGGATTCAGTGAAGTTGGAACTCAAGCTTTTCTGTACAGTGTTGATTTTTGTACTAAATCCTGTAGTCTAGTCTACAATTATTTGGAAATTATTTTTTACTACTGCTGTGTTTAGAAATATGAGATTATGACTATTTCATGCAGTTGCATGTATTTTTCTTTGAATGAATTAACATGCCAAGTAAATATGTCTGTCTGTCTGTCTGTCTGTCTGTCTGTCTGTCTGTCTGTCTGTCTCTCTCTCTCTCTCTCACACACACACACACACACACACACACACACACACACGGATCCTATCTAACTCTCCAATACATAAACAAAGGGAAAATAATAGCCACCTCTACCCCACAACCCAACACAAAACCATAAACTTACTTAAAATACCATGAGATATTTTGCAATTTTCTTTAAGATGTATTTATTTGGGCTGGAGAGATGGCTCAGTGGTTAAGAACAGTGCCTGCTCTTCCAGCACCCACATGGCAGCTCACACCTGTCTGTAACTCCAGTTCCTGGGGATCTGGTATCCTTACACCAATGCACATAAAAATAAATTTAAATAAAGTATTTTTAAAAAAAGATGTACTAGCCGGGCGTTCGTGGCGCACGCCTTTAATCCCAGCACTCAGGAGGCAGAGGCAGGCAGATCTCTGTGAGTTCGAGGCCAGCCTGGTCTCCAGAGTGAGTGCCAGGATAGGCTCCAAAGCTAGAGACACCTTGTCTCAAACCCCCCCAAAAGATGTACTTATTTTATATATGTGAGTACTCTATCTTCATGTATGCCTTTATGCCAGAAGAGAACATCAGAACCCACTATAAATGGTTGTGAGCCACAGTGTGGTTGCTGGGAATTGAACTCAGGACCTATGAAAGAACAGCCAGTGCTCTTAACCTCTGAGCCATGTCTCCAGTCCTTTTTCTTTCTTTCTTTCTTTCTTTTTTTTTTGTGACTCAGTTACATGGTTCTCAAGTATTAACTCTGTAGATGACAGCAGTGTGCTGTGCTGTCAGAAGTTTGAACATACCTGGACAGATATTCTTCTATGCCAGAATTATACTTTTAGCAAACAATGAATCAATATAAAACTCACCTCAGATCCTGTGGCTCTTTTGATTCCAGATGCTGCTGCTTAAAAAAAGAGAAAGAAAGAAAGAAAGAAAGAAAGAAAGAAAGAAAGAAAGAAAGAATCTTAAGTATATATAAATACAGTCACAATATCTCTACCAAACTCACTGTGAGGATCAAGATTTAAGTCAAACTACACATGGTCATGAACTACTTACTGCCTCTTGCACAATTATCAAATCCTTTTGGATAGCACTCTTTAAAAAAGCTCATTCAAAATAAAATTTACTGACTTATTTATTGTGTGTATGTGGGTATTCACCTTGATCATTTCATGTAGATATCAGAGGACAACTTGAAAAACTAGTTATTGCCTTTGCCTTTTATTTATCTGTTTATTTATTTTGGAGGCAGTCTCCCTGCTGCCTCTATGCTGCTTACCTTCCTAGCTCCTGGCTCATGCGTCTTCCCTGACTCTATCTCCACCCACTTCTTGCTAGAATTACAAAAACAGGCACCACATCCAGGGATAAACTTGAGTGCTTAGGCCTGCATGGCTAGTGCTCTCACCAGCTGACCCAACAGCACTTTTTACATGTTCTTTCTTCCCTTTCCACACCTACAGGGCCTTATGTATACTATTTTGTTGGTGGGGTGGGGGTGGGGTGGGAGGGGGGGTGGGAGTAGGGTGGGTGGGTGCTTTTGATTTTCCAGACAGGGTTTCTCTGTTTATCCCTGTCTGTCCTGGAACTCACTTTGTAGACCAGGCTGGCCTCGAACTCAAGAGATCTGCCTGCCTCTGCCTTCCAAGTGCTGAAATTAAAGGTGTGTCCCACCACAACCAACAACTGTTCTTTCTTTATTTATTTATTTATTATGTATACAACATTCTGCTTCCATGTATATCTGCACATGTATATCAGACCTCATAACGGATGGTTGTGAGCCACCATGTGGTTGCTGGGAATTGAACTCAGGACCTCTGGAAGAACAGTCGGTGCTTTTAACCTCTGAGCCATCTCTCCAGCCCCCCAGCAACTGTTCTTAATGCATTTAACCATCACAGAAAATGTCCGTGACATATGGCAGAAAGACAAAGAGCCCAAGAGACAGACAGGTACCCAAGAAGCTCAGTCTGGTAGCATATGCCTATGGTTCTAGATTTCAGGGGTTGAAGCAGGATTATCAAAACTAGAAGCTTGCTAGTTCAAGGTCAGAGTATGCTACATAGTAAACTCCAAGTCCAAACAAAACAATAAAAAAATTGGCCTCCACAGATAAGACCAGAATATCAGACTAAGATAGAATACTTGCCTAGAACATACAAGATCTAAATCTATTTTCCAGTGCTGAGGGTTGGGGGTGGGGCATGCCTAAAAGACCTACAGTACTTGGGCTGGAGAGATAGCTCAGAAGTTAAGAGCACTGGCTGCTCTTCCAGAGGTCCTGAGTTCAATTCCCAGCAACCACATAGTGACTCACTTCCATTATTAAATCTGGTGCCCTCTTCTGGTGTGCAGATATACATGGAAGCAGAATGTTGTATACATACTAAATAAATAAATAAATAAATAAACTTTGAACTGTACTTACTAATTTATTTAAAAAAATGACCTACAGTACTCACCTATAATTCTATCCAGCACTTGGATAACTAGGCAAGGTCAGACTAGGTTATACAGTGAATCCAAGGAGAGCCTGTACTATGTGAAACTGCTCATACAAATAACAGAATAGCCGGGCATTGGTGGCACATGCCTTTAATCTCAGCACTTGGGAGGCAGAGACAGGAGGATCTCTGTGAGTTTGAGGCGAGCCTGGTCTACTGAGCAAGTTCCAGGACAGCTTCCAAAGCTACAGAGAAACCCTGTCACAAAAAAAATTAAAAAAAAAAAATAAAAGAAAAAAAAAATAAAAAAAAAATAAAAAACAAAACAGAAAAAAAAAAAAAAAAAACACAAAGAACAAATAATAGAGTAGACTATTATTCATCAGAAATTTTTCCTAACCCTTTTTGGTTTCTGAGGCAGTGTCTTAAGCAGTTAGACTGCCTGACATGCAGGTGATGGTGACCTTGAGCTCCAGACCCTGTGTCCACCTTCCACATAATGGCCTGCACCACCATGCCCAGATCAGCAGAAACATGCTCTACAGTGGGTGTCAGTGAAACTGTAAAATAATTTAACTTACTGAAGACATTCCGAGAGAGGGAGGAAGGAGATTTGGGGAGAGGGGGATGGAAGAGAGCAAGAGCAAGGAAAAAAGCAGCTAGTGGGGAGAGGAAGTGAAAGGTGGGAAAGAAAAAAGAGAAGGGAGGTAAAAGAAGAAAGGGGAAAAAGCTGTGGTACCACATATTTCTACTATTTCCACCATCCTGAGAGGCAGAAGGATCTAATCTGTGCTACATTGCTACATGAGTTCTAAGTCAGCTAGAGATCCCACTTCACAAACAACAAAGCTGGGCATAGCCAGGCTCAGTGGTCCATGCCTTTATCCCAGCTTGGGGACATGAAGGGAAGAGGCAGGCAGATCTCTGTGAATTCAAGGGCCGCCTGGTAGACTACAAAGTGAGAACTGTCTAAAAGAAAAAGAGGGGGTGGGGCACTTTAGCAGGGCATGGTCACACATGCCTTTAATTCCAGCACTTGAGAGAAAGAATTGCAGGAGGATATCTGTGAGTTCCAAGCCAGCCTGGTCTACATACCAAGTTCCAGGTCAGGACTAAATAAAGAGACTTTGTCTCAAACACCAAAAGAAAAACAAAAAAAAGTTGGGCCTGCTGTTGAGCAACAATAATCACAGCACTTTGAAGGCTGAAGCAGGAGAACTACAGTGAGTTCCAGGCCAGCTTGGGATACATAGTTCTAGGCCAGAAAAGGACTAAATAGCAAGAATTTTATATAAAAATAAGTAAGAGTCTGGCATGGTGGTTATGTCTTTGATCTTAGCACTCAACAAGCAGAGGCAGGTGGATTTCTGTGAGTTCAAGGCCAGCCTGATCTACAAAGAGAGATCCAGGACAAACAGGGTCACATAAAGATTCCATCTCAAAATAGTAAAAAAAATAAAAGAAATAAAAGGAGTTATTTAAGTAGAATCTGAGTACTTAACTCCCCTCTTGTCACAAATGAAAGCTATTGTCATTTCCAAGTTAGCAAGCCAACACACAATAAATGTTTGTTTTTCAAGACTGATATTTTACCATGTAGACCAGGCTGGCCCTGAACCACTTTGCCTACTTTTGCCTTCCCAATGCTGGGACTAACGGCATGTGCCACAAAAAAAAGTCAGATAAAAGGCATGTGCCACCACCAGACCTTTTTTAAAAAACAAGAGAGATCTGGGTGTGGTGTATGCCTTTAATCCCAGCACTTGGGGGGGAGGGGATAAGCAGGAGGATTTCTCTGAGTTCAAGAACTGCCTGCTCTACAAAACGAGTTCCAGAACAGCAAGAGTTGTTATAGGGAAAAACCCTGTCTTGAAAAAAACAAACTAAAGCCCCACCACCACCACCAAAAGGGGACAAACTTAAGGAAAGTAATGAAAGGCCTTTAAAATTTTTGTCGTTTAATATTCCTTATTATAAAGAGTACATAAGCAACACACAGGGTAGAAGAAGTGCTTAAAGTCACAGATCAAAAACAGGAGATCTCTCAGCTCCAACTTTTCCTCTAAGTCATCTTTTTTTTTATTTATTTATTTGGTTTTTCGAGACAGGGTTTCTCTGTGTAGCTTTGGAGCCTATCCTGGCACTTGCTCTGGATGGACCAGGCTGGCCTCGAACTCACAGCGATCCGCCTGCCTCTGCCTCCCGAGTGCTGGGATTAAAGGGGTGCGTCACCATCGCCTGGCCATCTTTTTATTTTAAATTTTCTTTCTTTCTTTTTTTCTTTCTTTCTTTCTTCCTTCCTTCCTTTTTTTTTTGCTTTGTTTTTGGAGACAGGGTTTCTCTGTGTAGTTTTGGAGCCTATCCTGGAACTAGCTCTTGTAGACCAGGGTGGCCTCAAACTCACAGAGATCTGCCTGCCTTTGCTTCCCGAGTGCTGGTACTAAAGGCATGCACCATCACCGCCCAGCAAGTATAGGTATTCTTTATAGGTTTTTTTTTTTTTGGGGGGGGGGGGGGAGACAGAGTCTCTACCCAAGCTAGCCTAGTACTAGTTATATAGCTCAGACTGCCCTCACAAATTTATGGCAATCCTCCTGCACTAGCCACTCGAGTGCTAGGATTTACAGGAATAGACTAACAAACACATTTCAGAAAGTACCCTTTTCTTTGCTTAAGATGTTAGTCAGCCCAGGCACGGTGGCACATGCTAGCACTTGGGAGGCAGAGACAAGCAGATCTGTGACTCCAAGTTTGAGGCCCGCTTAAGTATAAATAGAGTTACATGAGACCTTGTTTCAAAAAAAAAAAAAAAAAAAAGGCTGGCAAGATGGCTCAGTGGATACTTGTTATGAAAGCCCACCAATTTCATCTTCTGAACCCAGGCAAAGGTGAAAGGAGAGAACTGAGTTCACATATCCTCTGCCCTCCACATATGCATGTCCCCAAACAATCTCTCTCCAGACACATACATGCTCAATAAAACTTAATAAATAAGATAGTAAAAAAAAAATCTGAGCCAGGCGTTGGTGGCACACATCTTTAATTCCAGCACTTGGAAGGCAGAGACAGGCGGATCTCTGTGAGTTAGAGGCCAGCCAGGTCTCCAGAGGAGTGCCAGGATAGTCTCTAAAGCTACACAGAGAAACCCTGTCTCAAAAAAAAAAAACAAAAAAACAAAAAACAAAAAACCAAAAGAAAGAAAGAAAGAAAGAAAGAAAGAAAGAAAGAAAGAAAGAAAGAAAGAAAGAAGAGAGAGAGAATATGGGCTTTACAATTCAGGCATTTGGGTTTGCCAGGGCTCAACATTTACTGAGTATGCAAATTGGGCAATTTGGTTAAACTTTTCTAGGCCCTGGTTACTTCCTCCATAAAATGTAGAAATGAGGCTGGAGCTAACACAAACTTTCTTTCTTATTTTGTTTTTGTTTTTCAAGACAGGGTTTCTCTGTACAAC